CGCAGGCATCTTGACAAGTAACCGCTACGGTATGTACACTGCACGTATGTACTCATATATCCATGCAGCACCGCAGCCGCTTCATACCAATCCCTTCGCTTCATATTTTACTTAGCAAATGAAGCAATACGAGCATCAGGTACGGTCGTCCATTTGTGGGCGGGCGGGCGTGGTGGGCGTTCGGTGTCGCTTGAGAAGGCCCTTATAAGATAGGGTACCTTCCTTGGGAAAGACGCTACGCAGCGCCTGCTCAGGGTCGCGGAATTCCGTCCTGCCAGGCGTATTAATTCTACTCGTCTTAGGGATTTATCGTGCCAACTGCCTTCAAGTTGATGGCTGTGCAAGTCAAACATACCAGACGCTCCTTTCGCTTGATGACTCCCCATGGCGCGATGCCGATCGTCACTATTTTCGATCTCATTCTAAATTACAAGTTAATGAGCACACTATTGTAGCATCCCTACTTGTGCTGAGAACGAACCTAGCCGAAATACCAGCATCGTCAAGCGCCCGAGCCACGTGCTTTACGACACCGCAATCCAGACCACCAGTGATTATCCATGCTCCTGTAGTCTGTGCCGCTTTCAGTAGTCCGTCACGGAACATTCCGCCTAGTTTTTCCTGCACTCTGAAATAGCTCGGGGTAATTATGAATGAAGAATAATGTGAAGACAAACTGAATCCGCATGCCGCCCATCCAACTCAACAACATTTTTCTTCTAAAAATTATGTTATTAACAACAGGAACAATGCAAGTCAAGCCTACGTTTTCAAAGACTCATTCCACGATAGTTGAGTGGGCGGAGACCCGCAACCGCGGGGCCTCGCTCATGCGACACTTTCTATCACATTGGAAGGAGAGGAGCCGAAGAGGATTTTCAATAAGGGAGGCACAATCGCTGCAAGTCTTCACCCATTCCTATACCCATTGGGTATCGCGGAATGTGCCTTCGAGTGTACATTCGCTGAGCTCCAAAGTTTTTGGTATCTCGCCGTTTAAAAGACCCTTAAATACGTCTTCTAAGCCCCCAACCTGATTTTGCTCTACTCGTCTATTGATTAGGTCAACAACTCGCAAGGTTGAGGCGATTCTGTGAGACCATACTTCGGCTCAGAGTATTCCCAATACATCGACATGACATACACCACAACTACTGTCGAGGACACATACTATTACT